GGCCATGTAATTCCTACCCATTGACCAAATTGTCAACGAGCCCACCTTGTTAAGTGAGACACTGAATCCAGTCCCCATTGTGATCATGGGTACATAATGGTGACGAAATCCAAACTCCGACGAAACGGATTCGTGATCAAACTTAAACCTGAAAGTAAATTAAGAAAAAAATAAGAGGTTTTTTCGTACAAATGTAAAAGGATGCAGCGGTGAGTAGAACGGAAAAGTTTTGTTGAAAATTAGGAATCAGGATGGTAGGGATGCATTCATGCCTACGTAAATTATAAGAAAAAGACGTAAACAGCATAGAAGACAATTTTCTTTTCGACGATTCAATTTCATAAGCTGCTATACAGTTGTAATTACATGAAACGAAGAATTCATAAGACCAATCAGATATCGATAGATTTGTTTTGGAAAGTACATTGCGTAATGTGAGGTGTAACCTAGAAGGAGTGACTAATTGGAAATTAGAAAAGGAGGCTGAATTCGGGATGACGTAATAAGTGTGAGAAAATGACTAGTCAGTATAATTGTGTAGAATATACAGGAACTGCTGTCTGAAAGTAGATGTCACATTTTATCGATATAATCTTTGCGATCTATAATAACAACACTTGTACCCTTGTCAGGGCCTGTTAATAGTATATCATTGTTATGCGCCAAAAGTTTAAGTTCTTCTTTGTGCTGTTTAGTCAGAAGACTTTGCATTTTTGATGTAGCATTAAGGTATTGATTGCAAGAATCAGGGATGGTAGATTTGAAGCTCTGGAAATCCTGGTCTGACGATGGTGTGAGATCATAAGTTTGACTGAGTAGATTCTCAAACCGGACATGTGTATGTGTGGTGAGAGCAGCCTGCTAGCCAATTGGTTGACACTAATCTACGTCAATGTCTCGGTCACTAATATGGGCCGTGAGAAAATATGAACAAGGCTGTTTCAACAACCAATCACAGCAAACCTAAACGTGGGCAAATATGATTCGCAGATAGATGGCTCCACTTTCCGAGGAACTCAAAAACAACCAATCAGAAGACTGCGTTTGTCTACTTGACTAGGATATAATAATGTATGTGAAATTTATATAAATGCGTGTTGATTTTCGTAATAAAACGATCTGTTGCTTGGCCCTTGTCTTTTGTTGTTACATATGTAGCTTGTTTACACTGAAATTAACATCGCAGAACTTCGAACCCATAGATAAGGCTTCCATTTGCAATTTTGATAGGGATATAGAGGAGTGATTAAACACGTATCTCAGAATTCCCAGGAAATTTCTGAAGACATTCTATAGATTTTAGGCTATTAGATAACTTAGAATTAAATGACAGCGTTTGTTTGTTGGTGTCTCCGCTGACATACTCATTAAACGTCTGACGTTCATCAACCGATAAGCCATATAGAGCAGAAGATGTTTGCGAAATATTCCTTTCTAACTCAGGGATACGCGAATTGATAGAGTCAACGTGATTTAATGTGTGTCTCTTGAAAGATTTTGCTTTAGGATATATGTGATTGTGTCGGAGCACTTTCCAATACCATTTCGGATACTTATGATTATTGATGCATTTTATTAAGGAAACAAATCTCCGCATTCACGACGGCAAGTTTGACAGAGTAACACAGAAAGCCATTGAATTCCTTTACTGTCGAGGGATCTTTGCTATTTTTTAACTCATAGAAAATTCCCATTGTAACATATGGAAAATCAAAACAAGTGGGGGTTCAGCGAAGAGACTCTTTTCAACGAATTTATCATCAAGCTGTACAGTCGTATATATATATATATATATATATATATATGGTTTTTAAGAAGTTATATCCGGTGAGGGAATTGAATCATAGGTGTGAATGCATAAAATAATAATAACAGTATGTAACTGTTGACACATAACAACGATATACTATTAACACGCCATGACAAGAGTGCAGGTGTTGTTATTATGGATAGGAACTAACGGAAAGACGATAACGTGTTCCTATAAAATCTGTATGGAAAGGTAGTGTTGTTAATAAACATCAGTGGAGTGATAATAAAATTTAGGGTGATGAGAATAATAATAAGCTTACAAAATAAAAAGATGCAAAATTATTATGAGAACGTTACTCTGGTCACGGTGGAGCTTTGTCCCACTGGTACGAACGCTAAACCTAGTACTTGCATTATGTTCAAGGATTCGAAAAATCTGTTCAGAAGACACGACAGAGAAGGAGTTAAATTCATTACATGAAACCTTACTAGAGTGCGGTATCCTCCAAGATTCATTGACAAAAACATCAGAGAAAAGCCTCTGTTGTCAAATATCGTAACTGTCCCTACGAAAACTTACTTCATGAGTTTGAAATTCAAAAGCGATATCGAAGCAGAAATTCTTAGAAACCGCCTTTCTAAATATCTCAAGAAGAAGAAATTTCAAGCAGCCACCTATGTATCACATTCTTCAGCAGACAGTTAATCCAGTCTAACGTTAAGGATAAGATACCGCCTATGGCGTCCCTTAATGTGTATTTATCAGTTTACGTGTTTGTATGGAGTAAAGTATATCAGCCATACGCAATGTCAAGCCTGTAAACGTATTCTGGAACACTGTCCAGCTTGTCTAGTTAGAGGACAAAAGAAGAATAATAGCAGCTCCATCCTCGGACATCTTTTCATCTCCGGACATCGAGCACTCCCACTTGCATGAATGCTTCACAGTGCTATGCAGAGTCCCTTAATATCGTACAAAGGGACTTCGCATACGTCATCCGTAAAAAGCTGAAGCATTTGGCTATTCAGGATCTGAAACCTGACCCCTGCATTCAAAAGCACCACATAGATTTCCTTGCCCTACCATGACCAAAGTGATGTTCTCATTACAATTTCGCTTATTTTTATTATGTAAGTTTACTATTACTATTATTATTCTCATCATCCTTACTTTATTATCATTTTACTACTGTTTATTAACAACATTGCGTTTCCATAAACAGATTTTATAAAAACACTTTATTGTCTTTTCATTACTTCCTCTCCACCCTACACAATCATACTGATTAGTAATTTTCCCCCACTTATTATGCCATCCCAAGTCCTACCCCCTTTGACTAATTTCCAATTAGTCACCCCACCTAGGTTACACCTAACATTATGTAATACACTTTCCAGAACAGATTTACCAGTATCTGATTGGTTGTCTTTTTTAAATTCTTTGTTACGTATAATTAATTTTTAAGAGTTGGTTTGTAAAAGTTAAATTTATTCTCACGAGTTTGACCACAGATTGATATCATCAATTAGAGAACCATTGAAAATTAGCACTGAAGTACTGGACAGCTGGATATCCTAGATTGGGAATCATCGGTAGTACGCATCTACACCACAGGGGGTTCGAACCGAGGACTTTCCTGTTACAAGGCAAGCTGGCTCGTATACCATTCAGCCACTGGGACCCGATTCAATTGATCAACTCTTGAAAATTAATCTGATGCTCGCTCGCTAGTGACTTGCTACAGGACAGAGTTTCCTGGGTCAGTTCTAGTGAGAAGTTGTGAGCAGTGAGGTCCATCCAGCCAAGTGTGTGAGGATAAATTTCACGAATTGGTAGAAGTTAGAATTCATGGGCTGGTTATTGAATCAGGTCACAGTGGATGAACGGTCTACGAGCTCGCTAGCCTTGCAACCTGAAGGTCTTGGGTTCGAACCCTCGCGGTGGGTGGGTACTGCCGACATTCCCCAACCTAGAATGAATTCGCCGTCTGTCCCGTACTCTCTGTGACTGGTTTTCAATGGTTCCTTAACTGATATCAATCCGTGGTCAGCAACTTATGAAAATGAAATCGTTGAAAAGAAAATTGTCTTCTTTGCTGTTTACATCTTTTCTTATGACTCACTGAGGAGATACGTGCGTCGGTGGCACAGTGGTTAGGACTCTCGCCGATCATGCGCATGGTCCAAGGTTCGATCCCCTGCCGACGCACACCTGATATCAGTTGGTCGGCCTGCAAAATTTGGGCTACCGATATCCATGCTGAAAAATTCCATACTTGTACCAAAAATACAGTGTGGAATCAAGCTGTAATCAAAAATAAAAATAAAATAGTAGTATTTATCAATCAGTTGATTCCAATGCAGGCAAGAGTAGAATAAACGTACACACAGTCCCAGGTGTTTCAAGTGAATTTCAACAGGCTTCTGATTCATAGACATATATACATTCTGAACTGTAATCTAATAACAGTGTACTCACATACACACACACACACCTTATTAGTGTAAAACTCCCAAATTCCTTGATAGCCATGATTTACTGTTATTAATATGATCATTAATGCCGTCACCAGTAATTATTCTTTAATTAATATGGATACATAATCTTAGAACTTGAAGGAGAAAAAGCAGTTGTCAGAAAAAAAAATAACCTTTTGGTTGTTGGTGACTAGCAGTGAAGTTCAAACTGCGCGTTTCGTCCTGTCTGGGACTCATCAACCGGATGCATCTGTATCTTCAGACAGTAGTGATGTCCCCAGTGAGACATGAACTAAGCATCTATAGTTTCAAACGTCAAGGTGTTATCCACTAGACCACTAAGTAATGTCATGTCAATCTTTAGACACAATCGAAGCGTCCATACTAGGACGAGAGCCAATATCTCAAAAGAGACCGAGTACTTAGCTCCGGTGTATGTCGATGACGCATTGGAAGAATGCCTGTTAACCACGTACGTGTATGTGGCACAGGGTTCAGTCCTCAGCTTAACCAGTAGTAAGCCCAGCAAAGGGGGAAAGATGGGCATGAGGCTAACGATCCTACTTCGTCAAATGCAACACTACAGCTACTTCAACTTCAAAGTCCAAGTAAAGGAGTGAAAATCAAATTTCTCTCCAGAATCAGTTAACCAACAGGAAATGCTAACTAATTTAAACAAAGAATATGTTTTTTGTTCATTAGTCAATGTTTTGTTTGAATAAATGTTTCAATTCACTGCATCTTTTAAAAACATGTTTTTTTCAGCTTACCAGTCTCTTAATTTCATAGATTTTGTATACTGATGAAGTAGATTGACACGATGATCTTGTTTCGCCACATCTTTCAATGAAGGTTCATTATATGTGAATGAACGTACCTAAGAAATTAATTCAAAAGGGGAGAGAGAGTAAAGCATCCAATCAACATTTTTGACAAATAGGAAAACATAATACACCTTTCCAATTACAACGCCTAAAGAATGAAGCTGTCAATGTAGTTGAAGATTGAACGATCAATTCATGGTTGCTTGCTCAAACCCAACTTCCCTATATTTTCGCGGAGACATCGATACACCAGTCATCGTCTCATCGGTCGCTGTTCAGAAAGAAGTCAGGCCAAAACTGTCAGAAGTAATATTGTGATTTATTATTGTAATATCTGTTCATAGACCTTAGTTAAAACTTAATTTAAAGTTGCCTATATGTTGGTGTTACAATAAAGAATTCTCGAGTAGCCAATCGGTGTTTTGGTTTTTGCGTCCGTTATTACTAAGCGTTTCTGAGAAACTTCAAAGAACAGCGTGAGTCCCAGCATAGCAAGAGCTGGGCATTAACGGTTTACGAGATGTGGCTGACAGAAGCAAAAAGAGAATTCAATGCAGAAGAAGTTCACTATGTCTTCATAACCACTGCAATTTAATCCTCGACACAGACAACCGAAATTCTCCCTCTCCGTGTGTATCTGAATAAAGCGAGAACAACAGTGGCGGTTTGTGTAGAATAAGAATATGGTACCATCATTGCTGATTTCGTTTGTTGGCTTCTCATCAGATGCTTACAGCCTAAATGAATTATGAGGTTTAAGTACAGAAACGTTTTAACATACTTGCAAAGATGGATAGACAAGGAAAGACTAATAACTGCTTCTTTCTGAACACATAAATCTGGTTTGATTCAACCTTTTGATAGAAATTGCTTCAGAAAACTTGAGGAGGATGGAGCTCCTTTGCCTATTGATAATTTTAAAGGATTTCTCGATTACCACCTCATGACCCGTATCGAGGAGGTGTCTGGTAATAGCGCTACTATAATAAATTATTCCCTTATAGTAGCGCTATTACCAGACATCTCCTCGACACGGGTCATGAGGTGGAAATCGCGAAATCCTTTAAAATTATCAGTACACAAAGGAGCTCTATTCTCCTCAAGTTTACCGAAGCAGTTTCTATAAAATGCTTGAAACCAGATTTATGTGTTCAGAAAGAAGCAGTTATTAGTTTTTCCTTGCCCACCTGGTAACTGGATGTCTTTCTTTCTCTCATCTGATTACGTAGTCTTTGTCATTAACCTCACCCTCCTTTTATAATCTGTAATTTTGCTTGTCTCTTGTTTCTATGATTCGAGTTGAACTCAGTACATTGTTACCTAACTTACTAGTCACTATGCATCTAACGCAAATCTCATCTTTATTACGTAACTCCTTTACCATTTTCTGCATACATTTATTTTGTTTTAACTTCAACTGCCTGTGTAAAAACTACATAAGCGCAATCTTCTGAGCATTGTTCACTAATTGTGGAACTTTCTGTTAACTGAAATCATGTAAAAAATTTGCAAATATGTTAAAACGTTTCTGAACTTAAACCTCATAATTCATTTAGGCTGTAAGCAGCTGATGAGAAGCCAACGAAATAAGTAAGCAATGATGGTACCATCTTCTTATTCTGCACAAACCGCCACTGTTGTTCTTGCTTTATTCACATTCATCAAGGGGAATCAGTGCATGAAGTTTCTCATGTGTATCTATTTGTTTTACTGCTCTTTTTAAGTCACTTACGTTGGGTAGATAATAAGACACGTTCATAATTCGATTTCTAAGCACCATCATGAGCAGTTAAGCAACAGACAATCAAGGTCTTTTTCGAGCTCTCTTCCAGTTCACCTTGTAGATACCGAACATAAAATTGATGTTAATGGGGGAGGGGATTTGAAGTAGTCTGCTTTTTTTCAACTAATCTTATATAAACCTCTGTTATGTTAATTTCGACTAATTTCCCTGAAGAAGTTCGTACCAGATTGCCGAAAGTAGGAAACATTGGAATTAATCATTTCAATTTATCTGAGGCTTTACAAATATAATTCTTTTTTACAAATGTCTACTTCTCTCAAACAGCGCTCAATTATTTCGGAACTATTCGGTCAAATATTGATCACAGTTCATATAAATAATCTTAATTTTTTTTTATGAGTTCGTCTTCTATATACACAATTGGATCCGTCAGAATCCACCTGAAGAAGTTTAACTTACATGTTCAGAAAGAGTCCATTTTTACATACTGTCCTCAACTTACCCATCATTATTTTAACTATCTTTAATTGTCGAATAAATTTTTTACCTAATTTTATCTGTTACTGAATTTATTATCGCACATTTTTATGCCTATTATCATCGATATATGGTTATGGACTGTAGATCTATTTGAAAGAAGAGAACACAAAGTTCAGTAAAGATATCTACCAGAGCGATCTCACTTTGAAAAGCTGTAAAATCGCATTGAAATACATAAATTTACATAGATACAATTATTGTACTGTAACGACAGAAGACAATGGCCAGGCAACAGATCATTTATTGACAAAATCAACAGATATTTATAGATTTTTATGGACATTATTGTCAGTGGAGAAGCAATATCTTCTGATTGGTTGTTTTCTTACCGAAGGTTATTCTGTACCGCTTGTGACCGTTTCTCAGAAAGTTAAGTCATATATCTGCGAATCGTATTTGCACACGTTAATTCTTCTGTGAATGGTTGGCGAGTTCCTTAAGGTTTAGCCTGGTTATTGTTTTTCTCATGAATCTGATTCGGGACGCAAACGTTGACGTAAATTAGTATACAATTGGTGGATGGTGGCTAGCAGTGGAATCCAGGATGCGCATTTCGTCCTATTTGGGACTCGTAGTCAGCTGGATGTACCTGCATTTCTCAGTGAGTGATGATGTTCCCACCGAGGCTCGAACCCAGTACCCATAGTTTCAAACGCTAAAGCGTTATCTACTAGACCACTTGGGCCACGAGAGCCACCTCCTGTGCAATGGGTCATATTAATTATTGAATTGAATTCTTGATTTTCCCGTCGATTGATTGGACCGAAGTGCTCGGTTTACTAACTAAATGCCCGGACATCGTCGAAGCATCTGCAAAGAAGCCGACATGTCAACCTGAGACCGAGCACTTCGGTCCAATCAATCGACGGAAAAATCAAGAATTCAATTCAATAGTTGACGTGAATTGTTGTCTACAAATTCGGCTTGCAGCCAGCTCTCAGCACAATATAATTCCATATGATTACCAAAGCGAATAAATGGTGACAATTATTATTTTCAACTTGATATGAATTACAAGAGGCTTAGAAACAAAAATTACACAGGATTAAGATATAACTGCAAAATGGTTATTCTAGACGGATTACAAGTGTGATCAGGAAGAGCATGGAAACAAACTTAAAATAACTGATTTTATAACTGAAAAAACAAAATGGGATGAATTGAATGAAGACAAAGAGAGAAAATTACGCCCACAGACAACAAAACAAAAGAAACTGAAGGCTAAGGGAATATACTGAACTAGGAAGTTGCCAAGGTTAAACTAGTTTCTTTTGAATACACAGCTCCAGCTTTTCGTTGCATATTGCGAGGGCTTCTGCAGTACATACAAGTCAGAAACACACTACCTTTGGTAGGTTTGTGTTTACTTTGTAAATGACTTTGGATGAATCAGTTGAGATGGTGTGTTGATCAGATGTTCACCTATGGCAATTATGTTTGAGCCGATACCCCCCTCTTTGTAGCCATTCTGAGTAATATTCTCTAACACACTTTTCGAAAGGATGCGCATGCAACGACCTAGGTACCTAGCTCCACATGAGCAGGTGAACTGGTACATGCACACTGAAGTGGTCATATACGCGAGTTTGTCCATTTGCATTGTTTAGAAATATTAGGCGGCTAGAGAATGTCCTGCCTAGTGTTGCTGAAGGGTAGGTCTTCTTTAAAGAGCTGTAGATTCTTCTCTTTAGTATATCAGCTGTCGAATCTCCCCTGAAGTTCAGATTCATAGAGAGAGGTTTTATTTGACACTGAACTGCATTCGTCTCTTTTTGGTTTTGGTTTCATGTTCTTGTTGACAAACAGCCGGATATTCCTCAACCAAACATGTGAATATCATCAATTACAATTACATAATAAATATTTTTGTATAGACAACTAACTATACGGCCATTTGATGAAGTTAATGAAAATAGTATTCTTTGATTAGTCATTCCTTTTGTCTTCTAGTAGAGGAAACGATTGAATTCAAGTATAAACTTGGGCATTGTGATGGAGTATAACTCCATTATAGACAAGATTTTATTTTGATATTAACTGATGACCGCGTTTCGAGTACAAATTATTTCTCATAAACATATTGAGTCACTCAATCAACTTTATTGCTTCATTTAAACACATGAGTGAAACTGATGATTAGACATTTGAAAAAAATCAATATAAGATACGGAGCATTCGGAAATAATAATATGAGTGTCGTTGATGAATTACAATCAGATGCGAAATAAGACGAGTGTTTTTGAATTGAACTGAAATAGAATTTTAAGATTATTTATTATCCTGCTATGATTTGACTGACTGGTGGTAACAACATCTTCCATATTTCTGGTATTCGCGTTGAGTCATTGCTGTTGCGCGTGTTGCGTGTAGGTAGATTCACTCGACGACCCAGGATTCTGTAGTCAATCTCTCTCCACCTACTTATGTCACTTCTTAGGATTTTAACCCTCTCCTACCCTACTGCGTGGTTGTGTGTTTGAGGTCACTGAGGCGTTTGAAACTATGGTCACTGGGTTCGAGCCTCGGTAGAAACATCATCACTCACTACGGAATACAGGTACATTCAGCCACCAACGAGTCCCAAATAGGCCGAAATGTGCGTTATCCTGAGCTGGATTCCACAGCTAGTCACCATACACCAGTTAACCTGTAATTACATGTCCAGACATCGTCGAAGCATCTACACAAGAAGCCGGCAGATATGTCAACCTGATACCGAGGACTTCCGTCCAATCAGTCAACGGGAAAATCTAAAAAGTTCAATTAAAATTTTACATTTTTTGAAACGGTACAACACTGAAAACTATTCACTCACCTTATCTAATATTGTCAGCTGACAATCATCCAATATTTTTAATTGTTTCAAACAACAGACGACTTTTCCCAAATAATTATTTTGATCACAAATTGGATTATTTTTTAAATTTAAATTCTGCAGACATAACAGTGGTTTAAGTGGTCTAGATAGAATAAAAACAATTGACAATTGAACTTACTTTAAAATTTGAATATCCATTATTTGATTATAAGACAGGTTCAGTGTATGAAGACGTTTCATATGTGATAATCCATTGATAAAGTTAATATCACATGCTTGTAAATTCAAATATTCAATTTTATACGGGAATAGACCAAAACCATTAACATCATTCATATTTCCCTCCAGCACATTGAACATTGAACAGTCTGTTCTGTTTAAATTGTTCATAGACGTGTCATTGGATATGCCACATTGTCTATTGAACTGAATACATAAAGCATGAAATATTCTTGGATTATAACTTAAATTAAGTATACGTAGATTTGGTATACCTAAAAGTGTAGGACGTAGATTGTGATTGGTAGTCGGAAAGTTTGGAAGTTTTGAAACATTTGAAAGACCACTGACTTTCTCAAAAGGATCAATTGCACCCAGTTGTATTTCATTTTCGTCTAGCCCAGATAGTAATGAGGAAGTTAGGTTACAGGCGGAGAGATTTAAGTCACGTAGGTTTTTGCATCCCCATAGACCTAAAATTTTACGAATAAAAACAAATAACAAAGAAATCAAACGGTAAAGAGTGTATTAAGATTTAGTTATGTGTTAAAACAAGATAAATGTACGTCAACGAAGCTTTTTTAGTTGGCGGTCTAATTTTTAAGATGATCTGAATCACCCATTGATCGACCACTTTGGACCGGAGTTCTTGTCAGTCTGTGTTGACAAGTTTGCCCCAAGGATGGACGCTTTGATGGCGCCTGAGGATTAACATGACATTACTTTGGCTGATGGTGACTGGTGATGTCCGTTTCGTCCTGTTTGGAACACTTCAGTCAGATGTATCTGCAGTCCCCCCCCCTGTAAGTGATGATATCCTCATCTATCCTCGAACATTCCATCTATCGTTCTCAACTCTAAAGCATTACCCACTAGGCCGCACACACACATGCAAAGTATCCTTAAAGCAAGTAATAACCGATAGCAATAGCAGATGAGATCGTTCTTGCTGTGAATTAGACAGAACTTTGGCGTTTGAGATGACGCTGAGTACAGGATTCGATGATCAGTGAGGATACCACCCTCGTTGAGAATGCTGGCAAATTCAACTGACGAGTCTCAGTCGGTTCAGACTGCACATCATTCACTTATCACCTGTAAAACCCAAAGAGGTAAATCATTTTCTCTAAATATGCGTTTTTGAGTTTCGACATAAACAAATTTGGAAGCAGTAGGCCTAGTCGTGAGGACCGGAGAAGTAAGGCAAGCTTTCTTTACTCTCAAGTCCGTGTGGTGGTCAACACTCAGAACTCAGCATGAAAAATAAGATGCGGATTTTCAACTCCAATGTGAAGTCAGTCAGTGCTACTTATTATGCGGATCGGAAACTCGACACAGCGTCACGAAGGGCACTCGAACAAACTAAACACCTTCATCAGCAGCTGTCTTCACTCAATACTACTCAAGATCAGATGACCGGCCAGAAAAGCTCAGCAACAGAGACCTTTGGCGATGAACCAACCAACCAATCAGGGACCAAGTGTGCAACAGATATGCAAGAAGAAATGGAGGTGGATTGGCCATTATCTGAGGAAACCATCAAGTGACATCACTAGACAAACCCTCGGGTGGAACCCGAAAGGGAAGCGGCTAGTTGGTCGTCAGTGCGAGAGTGACATGTAGGAGGAGGTGATGCAGTGAGGAGATCACAGCATGTGGGCAGATGTGAAGCCAGGTTTTAACGTTGGCAGAGAACCGAAAGCAATGGAGACGTTTGGCTGAAGCCCTATGTTCCTCTAGGAACTGAGGAAACAATAATAATAATAATTACCTAATTATGCGCTTAGCATAGTACCTCTAGGTTTAATTCCATCGAATCAATATGTTTGTATATGTAGCATGTGTGCGTCGGTGTCACAGTGGTTAGGACTTTCGTCGACTATGCACATGGTCCGGAGTCCGATCCCCTACCGACGCACACCCGATATCTATGGTCAGCCTACGATATCACATACTGAAAATTCGATACTCGTACCGAAAATACAGTGTGGCATCAAGCTGTAATAAAAATAAATAAATAAAATAAAAATATTATATCAGTTAATGGAAAGTTTGTAAACAATGGGACTCTATCTAATGACAGTATGATTCGATTAGAAACGCTGATGTTTTCAATGGAATTGATAAAGTCAATGAAATATTAGAGTGATTGGCAGGAAATCTTCTCCCTGACTGATTCCGGTACATTGGGCGTACAATTAGGCAGGTTCATCATCATATTTCCAAACATCATCCAACATGGTTAAGCAAGGGAGGACAAACAAGATCTATTCGTAGCTCTATTTTAGCATAAGGTTGACGTTAATACTGCATTTAAAATTATTTATCGCATCCTGACTAATCTTAATTTTGCTCTACGAGTTCGTCTTCTACATACCTACAGCTGAAGCAATAAGAATCCACCTGAAGAAGAAGTTAAACCTGTGTGTTCAGAAGAAATTTGTACAGCCACTTTCCTTACCTTGGCCATAGCAACATGAATGTATAAACGGGACTACTTCGCCTCCTTCCCCGTAAACCTTTAAAACCTATACAAAATTATAATTGTCCAAATTACTTTATTTTTTATTTATTTTGACCACTTCATCTTTAATTACGTGTTATCCTTGTAAAATTAATTTATTCTAACCATTTCTAACTTTTAATTGTGTGTATTGATTTTCTTCTTTAATTATTAACCCATTGACATTTTGACACTGTTTAATTATTATTAACAAACATTGCCAGTGCCACTTGATGATCGGTAAACTGTTGTGTATTCTAATAAAAATGCTATACGTGTATATTAGAATAGAGCCAGAGATGAGGATCTAATTGAAAACTAAATATTTCCTCGCTCAATCTTCCTGTTTTCTAAATGTCTAAATGTGGATTTTTTCTATATTGATTTCGGTTTGTCAACTAACCACTAAGCAATACAACGATTGTGCAGATTGACAGCGATTTCGTCAGGAATCAGTCCATTAGCGTTGATACAACTCCTCCCGCCCCCCAAATAAGTAAAGTCGTCAAGACACTCAACAATTTCATTCCCTATTTTTGAACTAGGAGTTGGTATAGACAAGTAATAGTGTAAATTGTATGCCACTGGAACTGTAGACATCAACGAAGAAATTACTTTTACTTAGTCATTTACCTTCACTTAAATCCTTTAATGACCCTAAACAATTTGCCTATAAGCACAGTAGAAGCACTTTAGATTCAGCTGTCTTCTTATATCATAAGATTGCTTTCAGTCAAGACAAGGGGGCTAAATTTGTTCGTTGTGCCTTCCTAGACTATACATCTGCTTTCGACTCGGTCCCTAAGGACATCTTATTAAAGAAACTTACTGCAAGTCAAATAGAATGTTGGGCTGTTAAGAAAGCAGTACACCGTGTATAAAGAGAAGTCTTCCACTTCATTGCCTACTGAAGCTGGTGTCCATCAAGGCGCTGTCCTTTCTCCCTTGTCTTTTTTATTTCTTCTTACATGACTTGCCTCACTCTGATGAAATAAACTTTGTGAAGTATGCTGATGATTTAACGATTTCAATGGCTGTTAACTCCCAGCTAGATTGTACTAAAATAAATAGCTTTCTGTCAGGAGTCAGTAAATGGTCTGAGTCAAACGGTCTTAAACTGAATCCTTCTAAATGTCAAACTGTTAATTTCAGCTTAAGGTTTAAACGACAGTTAAAAGAAGTCATCGATTCTCATGACAGTTGTAAGATTGACGACAATGAATTAGGAATTAAATCAGAAATTAAGTATATTGGACTTATTCTCTCTTCTGATCTCTTCTAGTCATCCTATGTCTTAGCAATCTCCAGTAAAATATTCCGCCTGACATTTTACATTAAGAAGTCAAGGCACTCGGGTATAACTCAATCCCTCCTCCTCTTACATTTCATAAACTCTTGCTTGCATCCTACCTATTCTTCTTTGTTGTTCACCCTTATTCTTTCCTGGTTTGCTTAAAAATGACTGTGTCACAGTTCGTAGAATTCTGAAGACTGTCAGTCGGGTGAGTTGTGGTGTCCCAATGGACCACATAGTTAACGTCGTTGTCGATAGGCACTTGACTTCGTGCATTAAATTTGCTAGAGGGATTTTGTCTGACTTGGAGCATCCAGTTTACTTACCCTCAGCCTTCACCTTGCATCTCGTCCTCAGGTAGAACAAGGAGTAACTTCAGAAAACTGTATGCTCGCACGTCTAAGTACAGAAATTCTATAATACCATACTTGTCACGTATTTTATGTGATAGTGAAAATAGTGTCAGGCAAGCACTAACTAACTAACCTTTTTTCATCTAGTAAATAAACAGTTTCCTCCATCCATCCATCCTTTTATACCTTCAAGTTTTACTTTTATTATTTCTACTATATTTAGGGTCCTGTTGCTTCTTTGTTTGTTTTACTCTCATAATTCCAAACACCAACTTGTCTCTATGACTGCTGTAATCTTTGTTTTTCCCCTCACCATACCATGTAAAGAGAACATTATATTCAATATTTTTAAACATGTTAGGATTTCTATACCACATTGCCAATACTGTGTGAAACAAGCCCACAGCAATTTTCACTTGTATTCTTATTATTATTACTACCCTAGCTGTTATCATTATTATTGTTATTTCCATTTTAAATGCTGCATGTTTTTGACATTACCCACCCCTATTGTAAATGTGGAAAATTTTCTGTGTGATTAATTTTATTTATAATTTGAGAAAATGAGATGTAATATTGTGATTAATGCTGAAAATTCCAATCTGTATCACAAGTACTGTTTTTGGAATAAAGTAAATCATTATTATTATTGTTATTATTATTATTATAAAAGAATCAAAGAAGGCCAAACTACACTTACCAGAAATACTATTCAGCGGATTATTCGACGCATTCAACTTTTCTAAAAATTTCAATCTATTTAGTTCCGGTAATTCAGTGATTTCATTATATGAACAATCTAAACTAATCAAATGTACACAATCGATCAATACTGATATGCTATTTAAACAATTATTTGATAGATTCAATGTTGTCATTTGTCCAACTGAAGATAGAAATGATACATCTTTTAAATTATTTGATGATAAATTCAAGAATGTTATATGTGTCCAATTTATTTGTTCAATTAAATATGGTAGATTATTTTTTGAATTTGATAAATTACATTTAGAAAGATGATAGGATTGATTAGTTGAACATTGTTTTAACTTTTGTAGGCAGTGATGGGTTTGTTTAGTCAAAGTGGACATCTTTGTTAAAACTTAGAATTATTCAAGAAAGAGAGTAGATAACACTGAAGATGACAATTGAGACAAACGTAGCCATAGTTACGGATATCTAGAAGGAAAGAATAAAAGAAAAGAAATAAAAATGTTGAATATTGAACTGTTGATATCAATTTAATGAAATGTTTTATTGGACATATTGGAACATTGAACACTGTTGAACAGTTTTGATATTCATGTGAATTACCAACTCATTAGTGGCTACTGCATGGATTTCATGAGGTTTTGACAAAACGTAGTAACCTGTGGGATCCACAATGTCTGAATGAAGTGGACGTTTATCGATCGCCTCGGTCGGTAGTAGCGTTACGTCACAAAGTGATGGAATTAAAACCTCACGGATTAATGAATTCCGACCTCGGGGATAAATAGTCAACGGGTCGGCCTAAATTCAATCTGTGGTGGGGCTATGGGTATGTTCTGTTGGGCGGTCTCATTATAGGAAGAAACGTTTGTCCAGAGTTGCCTAGTACCCAAGGATTCTCTGCCCGATGTTGATTAATGACGAAATCCGCTTTGAAATTAATCGAAACCCTTACGAAACCTGTAATGTGAATAGCGTATTTCAGGTTTGATAATTGGCTGACATCAGTTAGGGGACCACTGGAAAACTAGGGAGTACTGGATAGCTGGCTGTTTCGTCCCATCTCGGGACTTCTCGGTCACATTCACAGCCAGGGTTCGAACTCACTACCTTCCGCTTACAAGACAAGAAGGCAGACCATTCAGCCACTAGGAATCAACCCAATGACTCATAAATTCCAACTCCCGTAAATTCACACAGTCGCCAACCAGTGTCGTCAGCGAGTAATCGTCCCTTTATCTCACTTAGGGGACCTGGCTAATCATAATTTCTCAATACAACTCCATGTGACTTCCTCAACAGAGGCAATGGCTAGTGAGTATCAAATCAGTTATCAAGTGTTGCTTTTCAAGGTGTTGGTCGATGACAGGTCTCATCACGAGCTGACATCAGATAAGGAACTGGCGAATTTAAAATTCAGATACCAAAAGGTAGCAACTCACAAGTGACTATGAGCACACCAACCACATAAAAAGGTGATTTTTGCGCATATATGTATATATGAAAAAATGAATAAAAAAGGAATGTAACTGTTATATGCTACACCTTTGTTTAACCCTAACTCCAGCCTTAAACTTTTCTCTAACCCTAATGTTCCCTTAACCTAACTTTAACCCGAAACCATCACTAATCTAACTCGAAACAGTCCTCAGATATCCATTCTTAGGTTGACCTAACCCTAACCTTTATGACGCGCCAAGTCACTATACGGATCAGAGACTTGGCCAGCGCGTCATAAAGAGCACCTCAAACAAACTACAGACCTTCATCAACAGCTGCCTTCGCTCAATACTACTCAAATTCAGATGGCCAGCCAGAAGAGATCAGCAAGAGGGATGTCCGGGAGCAAACCAACAGATCAGGAACCGATTGTGCAACAAATAGGCAGGAAGAAATGGAGGTGAATTGGTGATACTCTGAGGAAACCATCAAGTGATATCACCAGACAAGCCATCGCTCGAGTGGAACCTGAAAGGGAAGCGGCGAGTTGGTCGTCAGCATGAGGGTGACTTGGAAGAGGTCATGTGAAGGGGAGATGAAAGCATGTGGGCAGACTTGGAGCCAGGTGAACGGAGAACCGAAGGCATTGGAGACGCGTGGCTGAAGCCCTATGTTCCTCTAGGAATTAAAGGAAATTATAATACTAATAACCCTAACCTGTCACTAGGCTAAACCCTAACTTTATCTTTCTCAAACCTAATATGAAAACAGCCAGATATCCCGTTTAGTGTCACAACACTTCATTTAGCACATTTAATTCAGAAATAATAATAATAATAATAATCTACTTTATTCCAAAAAAGGCAGTATTTATAATACAGAATGGAATTGTCAACATTTGTCACAATATTGCATCTAATTTACTCAAAATATAAATAAAGTTAAAAATTAAAACAAAATTAACCATAGGAAGTTGTCCACATTTACGATATAAAGTCAAAAATATTCAAAGCGCGTATTAAGTATAATAAATATAATATTGATAATAACAGTGAGTTTGTTTCAAACAGTATTGTCGGTACAGTCAGTGTGAAAATTTTAGCATGTTATTATAGAGTATTGAATCTAATGTTCTGTTAATACAGCAGTATGGTGAGGGGAAAGACAAAAAACAACAGCAATAACACCACTTCAATGATGTTCACACTTATGAAAAAAACAAACAAATAAAAAACAAAAATTGAGAGGATTATAAATATAAGAAGTACAATAACAATAAAGGTTGATGTTGTAAGGCTGGAGGAAATGGTTTATTTAGTAGTGCAAAGAAGGTTAGTTAGTTGGTTGGTGCCTGACACTGTTTTCATCACATAAAGTACGTGCAGTGAAATAAGGTATAGTAGAATTTTTATACTTAAACGTACTTCCGAAAAGACTTCTTGTTTTACCTTAGGAGGAGACACAAGGTTGGAGCTACAGGTAAAATGGATGCTCACAGTTTGACAAAATCGCTTTAGCGAATTTCTTGCCTGACATGTAAATCATCAGTAGTAATTCCATATAAGGAAGGAAGCTTGGAAACCTAAAGCAGAATTTTTAACAAGGCAGGAATAAAAGTGGCTGGTATTCCAACCCATAAACTCAATTAGAAACAAGCCCTTGTCGGTTGAAGGATCCTGTAGAGCCTTCAAAACAAAACAATTTAATTTATCTAATACCCTGCCTGAAATGATAGTCAGGTCAAATACATAGATCGTCGGTGGCACAGTGGTTAGGACTCTCGCCGACCATGCACATGGTCCGAGGTTCGAGCCCCTGCCGACGCATACCCGATATCAATGGTCGGTCTGCAAATTTGGGCTACCGATATCCATGCTGAAAATTCCATACTTGTACCAAAAATACAGTGTGGAATCAAGCTCTAATCAAAAATGAAAATGAAATGGGATAGGATGACAGTTTTAAAATCTTATGTCACAGCAGGGTGGAGGAAGAGATTGATAACAGAAGCTTTGTTTATCGAATCAACTGCGAATCAACACGTGTAATAGGAATCACTCAACACTTGTCCACGCAGATGTCTGGAAAATTCTACTGCCCCAACGACGACAAATAGGAGAAGACAAAAAAAACTATAAAACCCAAGTTTCGAAGTCGTGTGATTATAATTGACGATGTGATTATGAACAGTAATAAATTTTGTTCGAAACGTCGTCCAGTAAATAATACTGCTACACTCACTGTGTGATACATCTCTAATAATATAGACTGTCCAGATTGTCAAGAAAGATAATCAGCAACAAACTCTAAGTCCAGCAAAGAGAAGAAGATGCAGATTTTCAACACTACTGTCAAGTCAGTGCTTCTCCTGTATGGTTCAGAGACTTGCCACACCCTTAACAGGGAGCATTTTCAACAGACTACAGATTTTTAAACTAGCAATTTCCTTTTGCATTTTGATACGGAAAATCAAATGGTCAGAAAGCTGATTGGTGGCAGTGAATTCTTGGAACCAACTAACCAAGAACCTATTGCCCAGTTAACGTGCCAAAGGAAAGGGAGACGTATCAGACAAACACTGAGGGAGCCACCTAGTGATATAGCGCACCAGGCAAGTAGTCGATGGAATGCGAATTAGAAAGGATGAGCTAGGCGTCACTTAGAAGATGACACGGAGGAAGTTGAATAAGGAAAATTACATCAACACATGTGCAGCCAGCCTGAAAGAACTGCAAAGAGCAGATTAAGATGGAGATGTATTGCCGACGCCTTACATTTACATTTGGAGCCCAAGGGAATGAAACAAACACAGTTGGACTGTCAAAAAACGACTCGTCGGCTTACAATATGTCGGAGAGTATTTCATTTTGTCAACAGTATTTAAAAGACATTAAAAGACATGACTCTGGAAAGTATTTAATTTTTTGGAGTAATTTCACTTCAAAGATGTACAGTCATATCTTGTCCCGAATGGTCATGAAAACGTCAATATCATTTGGTAAATAAACATATGAAATCTCATGGTAGTCAGAAAAATGGATAAACTACGAGGCTTAGTTAAGTGCTTTCAGGAATATGTCTCAGAAACGATCGAAATTCTAAAAGTTTAATTCAAGTTTAGATTTATCCGTCGATTGATTGAACTTAAGTGCTCGGTCTCAGGTTGACATGTCTGTCGGCTTCTTTTGCAGATGCTTTGACAATGTTTGGGCAGGTAATTAGAGGTCAACTGATGGATGGTGACCAACAGGGGAATCCAGAATAGCGGGCGCTTCTTCCGATTCGGGACTCGTCCTCCAACTGAATGTGGCTGCATTCCACAGTGAGTGATCACGTTCCCACCGAGGCTGAAACCCAGTGCCTATAGTTTAAAACGCCAAAACATTATCCACTAGGACGAAATGCTCGTCATCCTGGATTCCACTGCCAGTCACTATCTACCGACTAAAATTCTAAAAGCTTTAAAGCAAGAATATTACTCGAAAGAGTAAGAAATTCAAAAGTTGCAAAAAAGTTGGGAGTTTATGAAGAAGGCAGAACAAAAAACGAATGAAGATGGATTATACACCGAATTATTGTACAAGTCAGGAAAGGACTGAGACCACGGTAGTGAAATGGATTGTACCAATCGTTTCTCCATAAACATTTTAAAGACTTCCTTGGGAATAGCAAAAACTTCTGCTGTACAGACAGAAGATATAGCCAGTAACACTTCGAACAATTTGGCCCTATATTATAATGTGTCACTCAGAAGGATTTCTGTGTTGATAAGCTTATGGTGTGTGAGAACAAAGTGCCCGAGACATGAGCTATTGGTGCATCCAATTTTCTCTTTCAGCAACCACATTTTAAGATTTGAATGTGAGTTTACTAATACAGATGTCTTGTGGTTAAATCTCCTTACCTTTTTGTCCCATAATCCTACTTATTATGTTTCCCAAAATAATAACTGATAATCACGCAGACGCGCAAATAGACCTATAGAAGAACTTTGCACAGCCACGAAGTCCGTATGAACAATTAGTTTC